TGGGTTCGAGCCTCCGTGAAGATGTTTCTGCACAGAAGAACGGCGCAAAGACCAGAATTCTTCGTTTCGGCGATATTACAGTAATGAAGACGACGTGTCCTGGATTAAAATCCAGATGTGTTTTGGGACAACTTTTTATTCCTACGTGCAGAGTGGATCAGATGTGTGATAAGGTTTAGAGAGAGAAATGGAGATTTGCCAGACTTCCGCGCAGCGACACCGCGGGCAGTAGGCTTGCGTTTGAGTTAATTACTTGTAGTTACATATCACCAATGCACAGAAATTTGAAAGTTATATGCCTCAAGCACTCCGCTGTCGTGCAGTGAAGTAGTTCTTTAGGTGCAGATTTCTAAGCGTTGTCACCAAGTCATTTCGCGCTCTGAATACCGGCCGAGCTTTGCGTCAGCGAAGTATTGAAAATTAAACCGCATGACTGCATTTTCACCTCTCCCCCCCCCTCTCTCTCTCTCAGTAACAGCAAAACATTTTCATTCAAGCTAAATGGAAAGGATTCGAGACAATGCCGAGTGTGATGAAATTTTACTCATACCACACACACACTGAACCAGTCTGTGCGTGTTGTATCAATACTAGGGGCGGACAATTATTTTTACTAGCGGGCCGAATGCGGCTATTCGAGAGGGGTACACAGATTGTAAATTAAAAAATTATTTCATTAAATACGATCAATTAACACCTGTCATCGTACAAAGCCACCTTACCTGTATATAACTTACAGGCAGATATATTATACAAAACGGTATAAATCACCAACTTAAATATGACATTCTAACACTTCTCAAGACAATGTTTGGACCTGAGGAGGCTTTAGAAAGCGTTAGAACGAGATTCAAATTTTTAAAGTTTCGCCAAATATTATTAAGATTATTAAATTAAGTGGAATGAAATTGGGGGGATACAAATGAGAATTGAATTTAAAATGTTGGTTGGAAAATGGAGAGAAAAAGACAACTTTAAAGACCAGTTTATAGGAGTATAATATTAAAATGGATCTCAAATAAGTAAGATACGAAATGGACTAGAATCGCCACATTCGATCAGAGACAAGTTGTTAAAACGGTAATTAACCTTACGGACACCTCAGAAGGCAGAAAGTATCTTGTGTAGATGAGCAATTTTCTTTTTTTTTTAGTGTTCTGTCTGACGACAGGTCCATATGAACAGGATCCTTCCATCCTTTTCTCGGACTGGGACCTGTTCATATACGTTCTTGGCAGATGATCCAGAAGTGGTTTGCCATTGCCTTCTTCTGTGTGTGAGTGGAGTAATTGTTGGGATGCCACGGAGGAAAACTCCGTGTTTCCTAGACCACGGCCTTGCCCAACACAAGTTATAAATTCGGGCACCGCCGGGAATCGAACCCGAGACCCCAGGATTACAAGGCCAGCGTTCTAACCGCTAGACCACCGTGGCGGGTCAGATGAGCAAATATCAGCTAAAAGAAGGACTCGGTTTCACGCCGTTAGGTTGGTAGTCGTTAAAAAATCTTATCTCAAAAGTGTTAATGACAATGACAGCACAGAATCCGTATTAGCCCAAATTAGTTTTCATCAACGCAACTTTAATTCAGCGTAGGTAAGTACCAAACACTGCCTGGGACCCACACTAAATTTTCGACAAATACTCGCGTTCTCTTGTGACACGGAAAGATGATCTTCATGATTAGCCTAATATCTTAAAATCATCGCGTTTTGCCCACCCCTGGCTTGCAGATGGGACAAGCTCGCCTCCAGGTGTAGCTGCCAGCACCTGCTACGGTCCACTGGCCTACATACCCACACTCTGCAAAGTAGTTCCACAGCGTTAGTAGGTCTGTCTGCTGCTTCTCGGCAATCGTTTCAAGTTACGTACATGGACCAAACAATTCTCAAATTCCACTCTCCGAAGGCGGGAACCAGGGTTTATATTACCTTCTTAACATTGCTACTTATACATGTAGGATTTGAGGTTCTCACAGTTGTCTTCTGGGTTTGGTAGGAGTTCAGCGACGTTTCATAGTACCCGTCGTCTTAAATTCACAGGCAGCAAGTACGTCTGAAACGTCGGAGAACTTCTACCAGACAACACCTCCCTACAACCCAGGAGAAAAAAATTGTTTTTTTTTCTGTTCTATAATAAACATGGCGGCTTGTCATACAAACTTCGGTAACAGTATATAAAAACCAAATTAAAACGTTAATAAAATCTTGCAGTTCAAGTCTGCCTTCAGAAATGATTTGTAAATCACTTTCTTTAATTCGGGTGTTCAGTGCCGTGGTCACAAAATCACGCCACCGAAAACTATCCCAATGCTGATAAATCTAGCGAAACAGTTAAGGTAACATTCTCTGGTATTTTTAATATTATCTTCCATATAGTCCTCGATTCCCCAAGTGACTTTCCCCACTCGGGATAGCCAACCAAATTTTTATGTATTTTATAATTCCCTAAATGTAAAACAGATATATATAGTTTAAGAAGCATGTAATCTGGCAGTTCAATTATTTTTCAGAGGCTCTCGCTGCCTCCATCATCAGGGCGATGAGCTAATCTTGTCAAATTATCAAATATTTTAAACTCTATACACGGGGTGTGTTCATACATGCATATAAGAAGTGCCTTTTGAATCAGCGTATTTTTTTTTTGCGTGACACAAATATATATTATAGCTAATCAATCAAATTCATTTTCCCCCCTTCCGGGGTTCCTACAGTGGACAATAGTCTGGCTCTTCAGAAGTATCGATAAATTACGCGATGCATCCATACGCTGACATAAAATGCATTTTCTCTACATTACATCGTTTCGATTAATCGATACTACATACTACAGCCAATCCTCACAGGTCGCAACGCATTATGTCAGCTGTAAAATTTAAAATTAATGGAGTCATGATGGTAAGATAATACCATTAACAGCAAGACAGATACCATTAATTTCAGATTTAAAATTAATGGAGTCATGATGGTATGATAATACCATTAACATTAAGACAGATACCATTAATTTCAATGTACCGTATTATTCTGCTAAGCCATAATAATTTAATTTTTAGCGGCGGAAATGTCACCAGGCCACATCGATATAATCGTAAAAAATTAGACGGGAGCAAATTGCAAAATTTCAAGTTGCAGGTGAATCATGTTTAACACTTACTGACAACTGCTGTTTACGTTGGTGTTTAACAAACCGACTGTCCTCTATAACTTGTCGACTTTGAAGTCAATTGATTAATCGGTCTCATTTATAAACAAGGCAATTCTTTTATAACAGCACGCATTTACGTATGTATCTATCAGTCTGGTGAGATAACATCGGGAAAGTACAGTTCCTTATTGGCTTGCTACAAGCTGTAACTCACTGCCAAGAATTCAAGTTTGTCCTTTCACGTAAGCGACGTTTGCAACCTGTCATTAAAAGGTTGACATACCAGTTAAAAATTGCATAATACACCCTATGGGTGTCTGGAAAGTGTAAGCATAACAGAAAATACGTCTAATAATCATTCCCCCACCTTAACTGTCCTATTTTCACCTAATTTATACTTATATTCCGAAATAAAATTTACAGTAATTACGTTACAAAGTTTCCTTACTCAACGCACGTAAAAAAATTAAGAGTTTGCACGCAGAATTGACTGAAATGTGTAGGACATGATCCAAACCGTATTTGAAAAGTATGGGGGTTTGTAGATCGCATCTCTGCTCAACACCCCAGCGTTAGATTTTCACGAGAACCAATAATTTATTCCCTACATTCTATAATTTATTAACCCCACAATTTTCTATCGAACTCTACCACTTTCAAGAACTATTTACATGGACCACCAAACTTTATTATACGTTATTTTTAGAGTAAAATGTGTTCATGCTATCAGCCTTAAAAGTGTTGAGTAAAAACCAAGGTTTCGGAGACTAACTCTGTATCCATCATCAGGGTCAATGTCAGGAGTATATTTGCGAATTTTCGTCATTTGTCACACTGATCCTGATGATGGAGACACAGATAGTCTTCGAAACGCTCGTTTCTATTCAGCATTGACAACAGTTACAGTCTGGCATTCAGTCGACGTAAATGTTTCAAGCATCATGTAATTATGTTAGACTTAATACACAGTCCAGTTAATCGTTTGGCAGATATCTAAAACAGTTAACTGATCATTTTTATTGATTAATTTTCTCCTTATCAATAATCAAGTCAAGGTATTTCTTTTATTACCCAACGTTTATAAGAAATGGGAAAAATTAAGCACACAGCTGGAAGGCTGTCTCTGTCGCTAGTAATATTTCGTCTCAGAAACTGCTGAACATTGTGACAAATCTTAGTAATGTAATTCGGTGGCCGACTTTAATTTTTACTCTTATTAGTACATGACCCTTGATTGTGCATAGATCATTATAAAGTTTACTCATATTCCTTAAAAGATAACGTGTCCTCATACCGCAAATGAGCACATAACAAATTATATCGTCACAATATCGCAGACTCCTATCTGATACACTTTCTTTCGACATCCTTAGAACGCTGAGACATACAAAAGGCTTCAAGACGTCAATAATTAATGTGATTGGTTTTGCAACGAGTTTTTATAACCATGAGTACATTTCATTTGCATTAATAGACCATTAAGGCCAATGTGGTACGCAATCCTCAAGACGATTAATTGACCGGATACAACTTTCCTCAATTTAACCGACTATTTGCGTGCTTCGTAGCCCGGGAATCAACTATAAACCTGATGACAAAGGTTTTCGTGGTTTTTCTCAGTCCCTGCAACATAGGATTAAACTAAATTAAGCCACGACCACTTCCTTCCATTATCCTTCTTCACTATTCATAAATCGTATAATTATCCGACTCGATATTGTTTAAACTATTGCCAGCGTGACTTTCCAGCATCCTTCCCACTTTCCTTTCCATCACAAGCTTCTTCAGAATACGACAGACAGACAGACAAACATGCGATTACAGCTCAGTGTTTAATGGAGATCCGTACTTACTGATCTATTTCGTCATGTTTCAGTTCGGGCCCAATGTACGAGCCGCTGCTGAATTTTCGACCTTTTCTGAAAACAAAGGGAAATTTGGTTAAAATTATGCACCTTCAGGGTCATTTCCTGTCCTTACTTGTGGTATATTTAATGACGATTTCAGTAACTCGGACCATAGGCAAAGATCGTCGAATAACAATTATGAATAATTAAATTCTGTTCAGATGAACAACCAGTACTGTATACATTTATTTTGTACAGTCTATACACAAACGTTTGAAGTTTATTGGTGTTGTAAAAATTATATAATATTAAAACATTTTGTTGTGTAAAATATTATATTAGCGCTCTTAATCGTAAATACGATTTTACATTATAT